AGATCCATGTATATACTCACCATTTATAGTTTGTTTCTTCTTAAAAGATATTTGCGATAAATACTTGATTGTTGTTATTGTTGTTGTTATATATGTTCAGTAGCCTGTGACTCATAGTCACCTTATGTACAACAGCTCTAAACCCTGATCTATTCCTTGCCAATCTTAATGTCTCTGACACACCTATTCCATGACCCCAGTCACTGAATCAATCCATCTCATCCAGGATCTTTCTCGCTTGCGCTGTCCCTCCAACCTCCAAAGCATGTTGTCCCTCTCCAAGGTATGATCCTGCCTTTCAACATGTCCTAAGTATGTCACACAAAGCTTCAGAATCTTTGCCTCCAATGAGCAGCCTGCCTTCACTCTTCTAGGACAAACTTGTTTGTTCTCCTAGCAGTCCATGGTATGTTCAATACTCTTCTCTAGCACCGCAGCTCAAAGATATCAATTCTCCTTCTATCATTTCCTACTCATTGTCAAGCTCTCTGATGCATAGCAAGTGATTGCAAAGACCATGACCTGTATCAGGCACACCTTAGTCTCTAGACTGACATCATTGCTCTTCAGTACTTTGGAGAGGTCTCTGACAGCAGACTTTCCCAAGGCAATTGGTCTTTTAATTTCCTGGATGCTGGTACCAAGAGTGTTGATTTTACAACCAAGCAAACTAAAGCTGTCAACAATCTCAGTCTCTTCACCATCTATCATGATGCTGCCAATCGGCCCAGTGGTGCGAATCTTTGGGTTTTGGTTTTTTTTTTATGTTGAGCTTCAATTCATATTGAAAGCTGCAGTTCCTGACCCTCTCCATCATGCGCTTCAGGTCCTCCTTGGTGTCAGCAAGCAGGGTTGTGTTGTCTGCATAACATAGGCTGTTGATGAGTCTACCTCCAATCCTGATGCCACACTTCTCCTCATAGACCCCAGCCTCCTGGATACTAGTGATTGGAACATGGAATGTAAGAACCATGAATGTATAAAAATTAAATATTATAAAGAAAGAAATGAAACACATAAATATTGACATACTAGGTACTGATAAAATAAAATGGACTGGCATGGGATATTTTGAGTCAGAGGATCATAGGATCTACTGTGCTGGAGATGAAAAGGTGAGGAAAAATGGGGTTCCTTTCATAGTTAAAAAAACTCATTTCTAGATCCATCTTGAAATATAATGTTGTGAGTGACAGCATAATATCCATATACATACAAGTAAGTCCAGTGAATACAACCATCATTCAAATATATGCACCAAGAACCGAGCCAAAGAGGAGGAAATAGATGATTTCTACCAACAGTCAGAGATTGATCAAACATGCAATCAAGAAGCAGTAATAATAATGGGTGACTGGAATTCAAAAGTTGGGAACAGAAGAAGAAGAAGCAATAGCAGTTGGAAAACATAGACTTGGTGACAGAAATGAAGCCAGAGATAGAATGATAGAATTTTAGACAATTAATGACTTATTCATTGCAAATATATTTTATAAGAAACACAAACTCAGGCTATACACATGAATTTCACTTGATGGTATGCATAGGAATCAGATAGATTACATCTATGGAAAGATTTGCTGGGCAAGCTCAATATCAGCTGTGAAAACTAGGCCAGGTCCTGACTGTGGAACAGACCACCAACTACTCATATGCAAGTTCAAGTTGAAGCTGAGGAAAATTAAATCAAGTCCACAGGAATCAAAATTTGACCTTGAGTCTATCCCACTTGAATTTCAAAACCATCTCAGGAACAGGTTTGAGGCTTTGGACATTAATGAGCAAAGACCAGATGAGCTGTGAGAGGATATCAAGAATAATTATCCAAGAAGAATGCAAAAGATCATTACAAAGACATAGGAGAAGTAAAGACCAAGACAGATGTCAGAAGAAACTCTAAATATTGCACTGGAGTGCTAAGAAGCCAAAGCAAAGGGAAGAATCAAGAAATTAAAGAGTTGAACAGAAGATTCCAGAGGGTAGCATGGGAAGGCAAAGTAAAGTATTACAATGAAATGTGCAAGGAGCTGGAATCAGAAAATCAATAGGCCAAATTCTCTCAGTATTGTAAGAACAAATCCAAGTCTCAAGTTGCAATACTTAAGGATGCTTTGGGCAGAACATTAAATGATTTAGGAAGCATTAAAAGGAGATGGAAAGAATATACAAAGTCATTGTACCAAAAGGAATTGGCAGACACAGAAGAATTTCATGAAACAACATATGAGCAAGAGCCTGTGGTGATGAAGGAGGCAGTTCAAGCTGATTTGAAAGAATTGGCAAAAAAACAAGGCTCCAGGAGTTGACAGCATACCAATTGACTAATTTTAACAAAGAGACTCTGTCCTGGATGTGCTCACCAATTTGTGCCAAGAAATCTGGAGGACAACCACCTGGCCAACTGACTGGAAGAGATCTATATTCGTTCCCATTTCAAAAAAAGGTGATCTGAGTGCAGAAATTATCGAACAATATTATTGATATCACATGCAAGCAAGATTCTGCTGAAGATTATCCAAAAACAACTGAGAACTGCAAGCTGAGTTTTGGAGAGGCTGTGGCACTGGGGACATTATGGGTAATATTAGATGGATCTTAGCACAAAGCAGAGAGTACTAGAGGAATGTATATCTGTATTTCATTGACTATGCAAAGGCATTTTATTGTGTGGATCCCAACAAACTCTGGCTGACTCTGAAAAGAATGGAAATCCAGAACACTTGATTGTGCTTATGCAAAACTTATACTTGGACCAGGAGGCTTTCTTCAGAACAGATCTAGGAAACACTGCATGGTTCAAAATTGGAAAGAGTGTGCGTCAAGGATGTGTCCTATCTCCATATCTTTTCAAATAATTGATTGGATAAAATTTTATCATCAGATCTCCAGCCTTATTTCTGTCACCAAGGCCATATTTTCCAACTTCCAGTCCTAAGGGCAGTCTCTTCTGTCCTTGAGTTTCTATGACTAAGAGTTTATTTTACTATACAGACTTTGCCTTAGTCTGTGAAAATGGAAGGATTTTATTAGCTCTCTGAACCAAAATGCTCGAGTCATGTCCACAGAAACTCTTTTGGAGAAAGATGTAATGCACAGACTCGGCCCTGCGACTCCAGACTGCCCCTGGGTAGTTTCCCTCTATACTGCAGGTTGAGTCAGCTTACATCTTCTGCCGAGAGCCACTAGATGGCAATCTTACTCTTAATTTTCCAAGCCGATTCAAGTCTTCCCGGCTTCCAGGGTATGTTTTTTCTCTCTGGAATTCAATACTCAATCAACGAAGGGGATAATAGTTAAGAAAAGTTAATTTCCTGCGAAGATTGGAAATTTCTATGTCTTTCCTTTACTGGTGGCCCTGTACACAGATGCCCATGTTCTCTCACAGTGGCCTGTGTGTTTGTTCTGAAGTACAGCCTTGTCCTGGGCACTTATGAGGCAGGTAAGTCTAAAGGAAACATAACTTTGTTATTCAGTAATAATATGTGCTTGCTAAGTCCCTCTGCATTTTTATTAACATTATCTCACTTCAGTCCAAAAGGCTAATTACCCAATTCCTTAATGTAGTTAACCCCCACAGAACTGTCAAGAGCAAGTGAGTGATATGAGAAACATTTTCTCTGGTCTTGATTGAACACATTAAGACTTCTCCAAGCTGCTCTTTAGTCTAACAACTGTTGTCTTCGAACCAACCATCTCAATGTACTTTTTGACTAATATTATTATTGTAGTTTTTGAACTTTTTTGTATTAATGGTAACATACTGATTCTATCCCCTTACATGATGATTTTATTATATATTTTCTTTTATCTTTTTAAAAAAACACCATAATTTTGTGATTCTGAATGCCTTTATAGTAGCCAAGAGATGCTGAGATAGAAGCTGAAAGACAGATATAGTTACTGATAAAATGAAAGGGAAGGGGGGAAAAATCACCTAATTTACTTCCCCCTTCCCACTACCCTGTTTCCTATAAACACTCCTTTTCTGAGAAACTCTTCTTTCGTTCAGTAAGATACATTCCAGGAAAATCCACTTTCATACATACATAGGAGGCTTTCCTCCTATGAGCTCATCACTTTGTTCCCTCACACCTTTCCTTAATAAACATTCAGGACATTTTAAAAATCAAGTTCTTCTGATAGAGGAGACATTATAGCCTCTCAGACACTTGAGATGGAATGTAGTCATCAGGATAAAATGTGTATAGTCATCGTGATAAACATAGGCTTGGCTGCACAAACTAGTAACCATTCACCGTGCCACAGAAAAATGTGTTAGGAGGTCCAGTAGATAAAGCCTACAGTTAGGTCAGCCATTTCAGTACTCAGCAAAGAAATGAAAAATAAAAGGGGAAAAAGAGGGCATTAGAGAGTTTAGAAACGCATCCCTTTTGCACAGTTCTGCAGTGCAGAATGACACCTCACCACTGTTGTTGTTAAGTGCCATCGAGTCGCAGGCGACTCATAGCGACCCTATGAAGGAGAGTCCTCGAGGCTTGTGTGCCTTTCATCCTCTCTCTAGGTTCATAGGGTTTCCGGAGGCAAGCTATTACGGAAGTGGATGCCACTCCTCCTTCCACGCTTGTTTTAATCGGGGAGCTCCACCCCACTCTCCCGTCCGCAATGGGTAGCCACACATTAACGCATTTGACACATCCGTGTCACAGTGTTCAGCCTCACAGGAACCACAAGTGACCGCGGGACGGCTACCAGGGCTTGGTAGCATCGTTTTCTGTCCACTTGGCCAGCTGTTCTCACCATAAGCAATGTAAAAAAAAAAAAAAGATGAGCAATGTGTGTCCTGTGTTCCCTGTGCCTCCTTCCAAGTTTATGTAAGATCTCGATATGCCAAAGAAATAACGGGCCATCAGGGAGAGGGAGACAAGTGAATTTCTTATCTCTAAGAAAATTCAGGGAATGACAAAAACATGAAAATATCTGCAAACTGCCAAATTCCTTTACAAAGACAATGCGCCAGCGCCACCTAATGGGACAATGCATCATTGCCCAATTCCCAGGCCTTTATTACCTACACCTGCCCCAAGCACAGGCCTCAGCTTTTGTGGAACCTTCAATGAAAGAGCAGAGAACACTGTACCATGCATCTGTTCCAAGGTTTTAGTGATGTCCTGAAGGGAGAGTCTCAGCTGCTGCAGGGCTTGGAGGAGCGAGTCCTGGTTGGGCTGTAGGATGGCATTCACTGCCTGAACAAGTGCCTGGGGAGTGAAATTAATTTTCTCAGTTCATTTGCTTTCATATTAAGCTCATTGAGGTGGGTATACCCTGGAGTTAGGGGGACTCCTCTAAGGGTACAACCACTGAGCTGTTTGTCAGAGCCCCTGGAGCATCTCTCAGCTATATCCCGTAGGGTGGGAGAGAAGAATCTAGCCCCTCTGAGCATCTCTTAGGTAAATTCCTGGCTAGGTCATGGTGTTGGCAAAGAATATTGAAAGCATTGTGAACTGTCAAAAGAAAAAAACAAATAATCTTGGAAGAAGTCAGTGTATCATCTGAAGCAAGGAAGGTAAGGTTTCTTTGCACATGCTTTGGACATGTTACCTCCAGTGTCTGGGGAAGGATGCTTCTTGGGAAAGTGGAGGCTCAGTGAAGGGGAAGAAGACCTTCTGAGAGGTGGATTGTATACTGACTGTAGTCCATGTGACTCATCCTTTCTGAACCCCAGTTGGAAGGCCAGTTTCTCAGTCTATACTTTTCAATATACTGTAAGGGCTAGTATGACCATATAGTTTCACTTTGAGAATCCAAGAAGATGCTGTTAATGTTAATGCCATGGCTGGTCATCTTATTGAGAACACAGTGGAGCACTCAAACGATACTCTTAGAAAGGAAAGGAGTAAGGATAAATGTAAATTTAATGTTAATATCTTTAGAAAAGGCATGTGGTGGTTGTGTGCCATTAAGTTGGAAGAGACCCATAGCTGAACCTCCAGAGGGTTTTCAGAGGCAGTAAATCACACGGGAAAAGATTGCCCATCCTCCTCCAGCAGAGCAATTGGTGGATTCGAACTGCATGCCTTCGGATTGCAGCACAGTTTCTTTCACTAAACCACCAGAGCTCCCTTAGTCTTCTAAAAAAATTGTTTTTTATTTTACTTTTTATCTTCCTACTAGTTTATTTACAAATTTTGAATACAAATTTGAACAAATTCTTTCCATTTCCCTCACGCTCCCCTCCCCCCATCAACTTGTACAATCAAATGATTAATCTCCCCTTCCCCCTGCACATCCACATCCCTCTGCTTCCAGTCTCTCCCACCCCTCCAGGATCCTTATACTCATTCTACAATAACGGTTTTATCCAAAAATCTTTTTATAACATCTGGCCTTTTTGTTACTTGCCTGATCCCAGAATGAATTAATTTGCAACCTTCCAGGAGTAGGTAATCTCAATGTTTTGTTTCCGCTCTAGATAATTTTCTTTTCTTCTTAGCCTTGGCACAAGAATATGGTTCTTTTCTTCCTCATCTTCCCTCAATTCTCTGTTTCTCTCTGGACATAATTGCAGTAAACCAGGTAGATTTTAATTTAACTTCATTTCCTCTTAGTAGCTTTCCATGATCTCCCAAAACTAGGTCAAGTTTCAGGTGTGCCTTTGTGACACATCGCTTTCTTTACTTTTGATTTCCCTATTGCACTGCTATCAAATCAATCTTCACTGACAGCTGACCCTCTACTGGGTTTCTGAGGTGATCAATATCACAGGGAGGAGACTGCCCATCTTTCTTCCCTCAGAGCTACTGGGGGATTCGAACCACAGGAGACTCATGACCTATGGTTAACTGTGCAACTAACCAACTGTGGACTTAATCTTGTAGGAAAATCCCTCTCCTTCTGCTGAATTCTATGCTCCTGCAGGGGTCAGGACAGTGTCTGTCTTGTCGACCCCAACATCTCCATTGCCTAAAACCATGTCTGTTCCTTTAATGAGGATAAATGGTCCATTTCCAGCTTTCATGAAATTGAAGTGAGAGATTGTTCTGAGCTGGAAATTAGATTGCTTTTCGCAGAATTGAAACAAGGAAGATGAAGCCTGTGTTTACCTGTATTGAAAAGTCTAGTGCCAAGAAAGAGAAGGAGTTAGGAAGGAAAACTCCAACTGATTTCTCATTAAAAAAAAATTGTTGAGTGGGAAGATACCTTAATCCCAGGCACTGCTGCTTTCTCCACCAAAGCTGTCACCAGGATGAAACCATGCAGACTTTCTCCCCCAGGAAAGGAAATGATGGTGTCCAGGTTCCTTAGGAAGGAAGTGATGACCCGGTTAGAAGTATAGAGCCTAATTCCTCACTGCAACTACATCCCCACCACGTTGGGAACGTGCAGGGTAAAATCTGCAAATAACTTTTCCTCTCCATGTGGTAACCCAGAGGAGGGAACATGCACCTTCATCAAGGAGAAATTCAATCAATTCAAGCCCAAGTTTACCTGCCCTAAGAAATCTCAAAGTCTAAAATGTCCTTGATGGACTCAAACAAAAGTGCTCTCTAACAACAGATGACCATCTGAAGCATGTGGCAGAAGACTTGTCAAATACATATTTGCTTCTTCCAGGGCCAGTTCTGTGAGCCACTGTAATACTAATTTTAGGAGTTGCAAGCTCTTAAAGCCAGTTTTAAGGCTTATAGGCAACAGCAAAAGAACTCTTTTTTTAGAAAAAAACAAGACATTATGGCTTGGAGAAGCCAGGTAGTTTGCCTTGGTTCCTCTGGTTGACTAGCCAGGGCCAAGTCTAGTATCAAGCTTCATAATCAAGACAATGCTCGATTGATCTATGGCATTTTTAATACATTGCTGAATTGTTAAAAGGACCATTTTTTCATCACCTTCTGAAATAGCTTGTCTCCAGAAACCCTATAAACCTGGAGAAAGGATGAAAGTTATACAAGTGTTCAGGTCTTTCACTCATAGGGTCGCTGTGAGTCCTCTACAGCTAGCCAGCACTTACCAACAACAACATAAAGAGAGATCAGTTGGCCTAGTGGACAGAAAGTTATGTTACCAAGCCAAAGGTGGGTGACTTTCATCTGTGGCCCTCAGGCCTGTTTTTAATTATTTTTGGTCAAACATTCTTCCAGGTCATATAGTCCTGGTCTATTCACTTGCTATGCAGAGGTAACTCATGTTTGCTGTGAAGCTGAAAACAGTGACACTGATGTGTCAAATGTGACAATGGTTTCCGATGGTGGACAGTGTTTGGTGGAGCTCCCCAATTAAAACAAACTTGCAAGTAAGAGTGGACTCTACTTCTGAAATAGCTTGCCTGCAGAAACCCTATGAACCTGGAGAAAAGATGGAAGTTATACATGTGTCCAGGTCTTTCATTCGATTAAATTATCCCAGATGTACATCTAAAAAACCTAAAAGCTTAACTCTAAATATCAAATTTCTCTCTTGTATTATAAACATATTGATGAGCTTAAAATATTAGAGACAATAATAGCAACAAAAAAAGAGACAAAAGTGGCCTAGAAATGGCTTTGCTCCACAGGGCTATAGCACTGTGGAGAGCAGTATCCTCCTTTCATCCCTCCAACTCCCGAGCATCAGATTCTGTGCAGAACCCTTCTAATGGAGTTAATATTTTGTCATGGAAAAGGCAATATGACCTTAGAGAATTCACAGAGAAAATGCAGCCAAAATCATCAGGAACTGACCTACCCCTCCAGATCACTAGATCTCTCTATTAACGACAAAAAAGCTCAGACTTACTGCCGTAGAGTTAGAATTGACTCATAGCTGATCTGCCAGCAAGTTTTCTGAGACTGTAACTTCACAAGGGAGAAGATTACTCATCTTTCTCCTGTTGAGCCACTGGTAGATTTGAATCTCCAGCCATCTTTTGGTGAGCAGCCCTCCTCCCTACGGACTATGCCACCAGAACTGCTTGCAGGATGTGCCAAAAGAAACTTTTCTGGAGCTGTAATAACCTCTGTCTATAATTTGACCCTTCAGAAAATTTCAGTGAGACTAGAGATCTCCCCCCCACCCCAGACTATTAGACCTTAAAAAGTCACAGAGGACTAGTAATGTACTTAATTATTATCTTATTTTGTTTGCTTTATTATAGAAAGATTTGAATATTAAGAAAAAATTAATCTCCTAAAGTCTCTCCTGGAGAGGGTGAAACCACTCTGATTGGGACAGCACAGGAGAAGAAGACCCCGATAAGACAGACTGACACAATAACTGGGGCATTGAGGTTAGGTGTGTCAGAATAGTGAGACCGGCTCAGGATAGAGCTGAGTTCAGAGCTATTGTGATTAGGATCCTTATGAGTCATAGTTGACTCATCAGCACATAACAACAATCCCTACTGGACCATGGAAGTCACTGTTAACTTGTAAATTAGTAATTTTTGGCTCTTGTTTGTCTATGTGGAAGGTTTCTAGGTATTTACGTAGGGTTGTTATGAGTCACAAGCGACTCAACGGCACATAACAACAACAACATATTTGATTATAGCTGATACTCTACTACAGATACAAATCAATATGCTTTCTTTCTGTATTGTTCATGAGCTTTTAAAGTTTGCATTGCTTCCAAATTAGGTAAAGGATTTCTGAGAACTTACCTGATTTCCAGAAAACTAGTCAAATTGTAGTTATCAGCAGCCACAAATGAAAAAGAAAATAAAAAGGATAATTCAGTTTGGAAACCAGATATTATTGTTAGGTCTTCTGGGGTCACATTCACACAACTCTCTCCCCAGCCCTCATAGTCTCTCTCTCTGTATCTCTCTCTCTCTCTCTCTCTCTCTCACACACACACACACACACACACACTCACTCACTTTGTGGTTTAATGTGTTTTGTTCACAATTTCCAGGGTGTGGCTAGACTGTGGACTCCTGTGTTTGTTTTAAAACAAAAATATAACAAAACCACCATCAACAAAAAGATACCATTGAGTTGATTCAAACTTAGCCTGGCTCATGTGTGTCAGAGCAGGACTGCTCTCCACAGGGCTTTCAATGACCAGTTGTTCAAAAGGGGATCACCAGACCTTTCTTCAGAAGTACCTCTGGATGGATGGCCGAGACCTCTCACCTTTTAGTTAACAAATTAAACCAAATCTCAAGTCATAGGTTAGCCCTAGAACATGTGGTTTGTGGCCATCTTGTTACATTATTTTACTATTCTCTTCATTTAAAAAAATGCATTGTAACTACTACAAACACAACATTCTATGCCACTATTGTATTTATCTTTTGAGACTTGCTGTTAGATCAAGTTTCACTCCCTTACCAAGGTTTTGCCTGGCATTTAACTGGCACTGATGCGATTTCTCTGAAATCTTGAAGAACTGATTGCATTGCTCTCTGACATTAGTCATAGATTGTGCTCTCCTTATTTATATCCACACTGACTCTATTTTGTTTCTCTTTCTTTCACATCTTCATATTCCAAAGAAGTAACAACTACCAGGAAGGAAATGTGGTAAGACCAGTATTTTGTGTCTGCACTGCTAGGATTTCAGCTGGTGTCACAGTGGTTAATTGCTGAGATGCTAGGCTGACTGAATGGTTGATGGTTCAAACAGGTGCTCAGTAGTAAGATGAGGATGAGGAAGTCCTGTATAAAAATCTGAGCCTTGGGAAGCCCAAAGGGCAGTTCTATTCTGTTTTATAGGGTCACTATGGAACTCTGTGTGTGTTTGGGCAAGGAGATAGTTGCTTTGTATTCTCTTTTACCAAAAAGCCAGCATTTTTGTTGTATTTTTTTTACTTTCTCCTACCAATTCAGCTATTCTTTTTTCTTTACAAACTTTCCAGTTCTTATCTTTCTATTAGAATCACCCAGTTAGGTTATTTAATATCCAAAAGGTTGACCAGAATCATCACTGTGTGTGTTATCATTTATTATTTTTCATCATCCAGATTCTGAGCATGTTTCCACAGCTTCTCCTTGGAATACTGATTATTAATTTTGTTAGTAAAGCAGAGTTAGTCAAAGATCATACTTAAAAGTTAAAAAAAATTAAAATCCCAGGACTCAAGTATTTTTTAATAAAATTTCATTTTAATTGTGATTTTAACACACATTTACAGAGAAGTTAGATTTTCATTCGTTCATTGTTGCACATTTTACCCGCTTGCCCTCCATTCCCCCTCCCCCCAGTTCATTATTTTCTTAAATATTCATTCATTGTTGCACAATTACCTCACTTGCCCCTGCTGCACCCCTAGTCCACTTTGCAATGACATATCTCTTATTCTGGGCTGTTGTACATACAAGTTCAGAAGGCTTTAAAAGAAACAGTGAGGCCTGATCTCACTGCTTTCTCCAAGTAGGTTAGATTTAGTGCTTTACTGTCTGCTGAGAGTCTAATTTCTTAAATGAGGATCTCTAGTCTACTCTGGCAGTTCTGTGTTTGCCCACAACCACAATTCTGTGTTTGCTGGAGAAATGTTTTTTCACATCTACCGTACATTTCTCTTTAGCTCTTATGGTCACAGTTATCTGAAGTAAGTTCAGTTGTGAAAACACAGTTGCTGAGATCTTTCACGCCTCACCATTTTGCCTCCTTTCTGATTATTTATTGAAATTCCATTTGCTAAAGAATCTTGCTATTTCTTTCTTTTCCTTTTAATTTAAAATACTTTTTTGTTGTGGTTTTAATGAAAGTTTACAGAAAACTTGGATTTCCATTCATTCAATTGCTGCACATTTTCCTTCCTACACCCCAGTTCACTTTAAACACAAAAAATAAATGTAAGAAAAAACCAGAAACCAAAATCAAAACCTAGACAGATGCTCTCCTCAACTTTCTCAGCCCAACAACCTATATGTTCATTCATAATCATAAATTTATTGGTTCTTTCAGGATTTAAAAAGTCAAATATGATGCTGTTGAGTCATTTACAACTCATGCCAACCCCCCCCCCCATTGGGTTTCCAAGACTGGAAATACATTTCCTTTTATTTTATTGCAAGTTTACAGATTTTCTTATGTTTTCATTCAATTATTTACAGATATTTTGCTTTATGATATAAATTAAAAGAATGTATTTCATTAATTACAATGTCTAATCATACCATTATTGCATAATGCTATTTATGAATTTTTGCTTTCTCTCCCTCCTGTCTCAAGGTTATAAATATTAACAGGAACGGACTACCTCATTTCCTCTTATGAAGCCATTGATAGCAGCATATTGCCTAATCTAAACTACAGTCAGGGCCTCTTCTATTTGTTCACAGAGATCACTTATTGAGGTCTATGTTCCTACCTTGACTTAGGTAGAGAACATAAGTTAGGGAGTAGTACAAAGTTAGGTGAAAAAAATTAGTAAAGTCTGTTTATAAAACATAAAAGAAGTCAGGCTGAGAAATACAGACTGATACCGTAGCGAACCAGAACCTGTGACCAGGGCTCTTTTATTCAAGGTGGATTCAGAAGGTCTGCTATTTTGAGCTTGTATTCAGTTTACTTCCTTTACTTGGAACATTCCTAATTAAAAAAAAATACTTGAAAAAGCCTCATTGTTTCTTGTGCAAAAGTCTTGACCATCTCCGCCTAAGTTTCAGTGTGTTTAGATAAGAGTATTCTCTCTCTTCTTACCCGTCTGGATCACGCTTAGTCCAATTTGCCAGCACCAAGTCTGAGTGCACCAGGATAGGAGGAAGGCCCAAATTCCTGGAGACCTCCACAAAAGGAAGGGCAAGATTTCTTGGCAGAATCTTTTGGATATAAAAGAAGACAATTAACAAATCCTAGGATTATTGCAGTGAGGGAAGTAACTTTGGCTGGGTTTATCCCAGCAACTCTGTGGTAGAGAAACCAACTGAGGACATGACCACTTCAAAGTTATATTTTCTATGAATTTATGGAAACACTATCAATGAGTGCAAGCTGCAATATGTGACACTTATAATAGTGAATTCACATGCAAAGTACAAAATAGCTTCTGAAAATTGTCTAAGCAAAAGAGATTACCAAAAAGTTTAAGCAAAGGAGTTAATAAAAAAAATATGTGTGTATGTGTGTGTGTATTTCTTTGGGTGAAGTAAATTAAATCCTCACTTGAAAATATGAGACAATGAGCTTGAAGTAATTGAAAGTATGCCAATTTAATTTCTCTTATTTTATTTTCTTTTTCTTATTGTGTACCGTCAAATCAGATTCAACTGGCACAGGAGGAGATTGCCCCTCCTTCTCCAGCAGAGCATCGGATGGATTTGCACTATGCGTCTCCAGGATTGCAGTGCAGCTTCTTGCCATTAGGCACTAGAGCGCCCTGAAAGTATGTCAAATTAAGCTCATCCAGAGATGCCCCAAAAGAAAGTCCTGGAGATCTACTTTTGAACAGCCCTGGGAAACCCAATGGAGGACAGTTGTACGCAGACACAAGCGGAGTGACCATGCATCAGAAATCACTCTGCAACAACTGGTTTGGTATATGTAAGTCTGGTGGCCTTGGGGGTAAGATATTGCACTCCCAACACAAAGGCAGGAGGTTCAAATCTATCTTGCTTCTCTGTGGGAAAAAAAAAGAAGAGCAATTTCTTCCCATGAAATCTACAACCTCTGAAAACTCACTGCAGGATCAGCTAGGAGTCGATGCTGGCATGCCAATGAGTTGTTTTGTTTTGTTTATGTAGATACATGCCACAAACACTTCATCTATAATTTTATAGGGAAATGTACCTCTCTGGTGGTTCAAATTCACCAGAGCTCTGAGGAAAATCTCCTCCTATGTGATTTTCAGTCTTGGAAATTCAAAGGAGGACCAGCTATTATTCTATTCTGACAAGATGGCAACAAGTGATAGTGAATTACATTGTTGTGTTTGTTGTTAAGTCCTGTCTAGTTGTAGGAGACTCATAGTGACCCTATGAACGAAAGACCTGAACATTTGTAGAACTTCATCTTTTCTCCAGCTTCATAGGGTTTCTGGAGGCAAGCTATTTCAGAACTGGATGCCACTCCTGCTCCCAAGCTTATTTTAATTGGAAAGCTCCACCAAACACTGTCCACCATGGGAAGCCATTATCGCATTTGACATATCAGTGTTACAGTGTTTAGCATCGCAGAAACCACACGTTACCTCTGTACAGCAAGTGGACAGACCAGGACTATATGACCTAGAAGAATGTTTGACCAAAACCAATTAAAAACAGGCCTGAGGGCTATGGATTAAAGTCACCCACCTTTGGCTTGGTGGCATCACTTTCTGTCCACTAGGCCAACTGAGCTTTCTTTGTTGTTGTTGTTGTTGTTAAGTACCATCAAATTGTAGGCAACTCTTTGCAATATAATGATAATTGGTGATTGCAATGCAAAAGTTGGAAACAATGCAAAAGAAAGTGTAGTTGCAAAGCATAGACTTGGTAACAGGAATAAGGTTGGAAATAAAATGGTTTAAGTTTGTATATTCAAAGACTTATTGATCACAAATACCTTTTTTAAAAACACAGACAATGTCTTTATATGTGGACCTCACCAGATGGACTTCATAGGAATCTGGTTGACTATCTTTGTGGAAGAAATCATTGGATAAGCTCAAAAGCAGCAGTAAAAACCAAACCAGGTGCTGACTGTAGAACAGACCATTAATCACTCATGTGCAAGTCCAAATTAAATCTGAAGAAAATTAACATGTTGTCGCACACTTTTTAAACTGACAACTGTGCTTAGAAACACATTTGCCGTCATTTGCAGCAACATGTTAAAATAAGTCCTTACTCACCAAAAATAGAATCTTGTCTACCTCACCGGAATTTATAAATCACCTTATGAATTGAAGTGTTAAACACCAATTATTGAAGTCCAGATGAGTTGTAGGATGAGATTATGAATATTATCAATGAAGAGAACAAAAGATCACTAAAAAGACAAGACAGAAGAAAAAAGAGACAAAAATAAATATCAGAAGAGAGCCTGAAACTTGAACTGGAGCATCAGGAAGCAAAAACACAGGGAAGGGAGGCTTAAATAAAAGAATTGATCAGAAGATTTCAAAGGGAAGCTAGGGAAGACAAAGCAAATTCCTATAACAGAATGCGTAGAGATCTAGAATTAGAGAACAAAGAGAGAAAACATGCTCAGCAGTTCTCAAGCTGAAGGAACTAAAAATCAAATTCAAGCTTCAAGTTGCAATATTTAGGGATGCCTTGGGAAAAATCTTAAATTATCCAGGAGATTTCAAAAGAAGATGATAGGAATGTACAGAGTCACTGTAACAAAAAAAGAGAATTGTCTGACAGTGATACATTTCAAGAAGTACCATATAATCAAGAACCAGTGATGATGAAGGAAGAAATTCAAGCTGCACTGAAGGCATTGGCCAAAAAGAAAACCTCAGGAATAGATGGGATACCAATTGAAATGTTCAAATGACAGATACAGCTCTAGACCTGCTCACCAGTTAATGCCATAACATTTTTTTTTCTATAATTATATTTTATTAATTTTCATAAACATTTACAGAGATTTTGGGCTTCCAGTCATTCATTGTTGCACTATTCTCTCTACCCTCCTCCCAGTTTGTTCTTGTCCAAATGCCACAGTGCTTGTCAAAGCCAGTTCTGATTAATCTTCTTTGTCAGTGTGTCCTTTGCCATTCCCTATCACTCCTCCCTGAGAGAGACTTCACCCTGAGTCATAAGGAAAAGGGGATGGCGTATTCTCTTAGCTACTTCCTGCTGAAAAGGGACGCTGTGGGTTTCAGGGTGAAGATCTTCTCTCACTACTCTAAAGGGCTCCTTTGGCAGTAGGAAACACATAGACTATTATGGAGATTGATTTTGGAATTTAGATGCACTCTTATTGATTGTGCTTGGCTGTACATGTTCATATCCTTGAAGATGTATCATGGGGGTGTTGCAACCTAGAAGACACAAATTTGACTAACAAGTTATAAGTACATGAGTCAAAAATTATGGAAAAGTAAAAGAAAAGATTCTTTCATTGGTTTACAAACCCTCCCCCAGGTCCCCTCCACCATGTAGCCCTCGCTCTAGTCTCCTGTGAATTCCATGACATTTTGAAGACAACTGCTTGGCCAACTGGTTCAAAGAGATCAATATTTATTCCCATTCCCCAAAAAAGGTGGTCCACTGGAGTGTGAAAATTATCAAACAATATCATTAGTATCACATACAAGAAAAATCTTGCTGAAGACCATTTTAAAAAATGGCTAGAACAGTACGTAGAGAACTACCAGAAGTTGAAACTAGATTTAAAAGAAATTATGGCATCAGGAATATCATTGCTGATGTCAGAAGAATCCTGGCTGAAAGCAAAGAACACCAGAAGAATGTCTATTTGTGCTTTATTGACTATGCAAAGGCATTTGACAGTTTGGGTCATATAAAAATTACAGTTAACAGTGAGAAAAATGGGAATTCCAGATCACTTGATTATGCTCATGCAAAACCTAGAACTATACCAAAAGGTTGTCATGTGAACATAGCAAAGAAACACTGGATGATTTAAAATCAGGAAAAGTGTACATCAGGGTTGTATCCTTTCTCTAAACCTATTCAGTACGTATGCTGAGCAAATTATTTGAGAAACTGAAGTCTATGAAGAAAATTACGTTATCAGGATTTGAGGAAGGCATCAATAATCTTCGTTATGCAGATGATAGATCTTTGTTTGTTCAAAGTGAGGAGGACTTGAAATGCTAGCTTCAGAAGGTTAAACACTGCAGCCTTCAATGTGGATCATATTTCAATGTCAAGAAAACCAAAATCCTCACCACTGGACCTATAGGCAATATCATGATGAATGGAGAAAGGATTGAGACTGTCAACAACTTTATCTCACTTGGATCCACAATCCATACACTTGGTACCAGAAGTCAGGAGATCAGGAGATACTTGCACTGAACAAGTGTACTGTCAGGGACCTCTCCAAATTCTTGAGGAGCTCTGTCATCAGTTTAAGGATTAAGGTGCACCTGATTCAGGCCGTGATATTTTCAGTCACTTCCTATGCATCTGAGAGCTGGACATTGAATACAGAGAATAGAAGAATTGATGCCTTTCAACAGTAGCACTGGAGAAGAGTGCAGAAGATCCCATGGACTGTCAAAAGAACAAATAGATATATCATAGAGAAGGTATACCCAGAGTACTTCTTGAAAGCAAAAATGGTGAAGCTTTGTCTCATATTTTGGACATATTTATATGAGAGGTTATTCGTTGAAGAGGGACTTCATACTTTGGAAAGTGGATAGGTGAGGAAAGTGGAAGATCTGCAACTAAGTGGGTTGACACTGTGACTGTGGCAATCAGTTTGAATGTATAGAGTAGTTCAGATCGGTTGTTGATAGGATCACTATGAATTGGACTCAACTCAACAGCACCTAACAACTATAATATAGCTATATAAGCATATGGGAGCTCTGGGATCCTAGAAGCTGTGGAGTTCCACTGCCAACCCAAAAGGTGTATGATTTGGATCTACCAGGTGTTTTGAAGGAGAAAGATGGGTGATTTCTCTCTGTGCAATTTATAGTCTCTGAAAACCCACTGGAGAGTCACCTATGAGTAGGTTCTGGCTTGATGGCACTTAGCACCAACATACATACATATATATGTAGAATCTGTATATGTGATATTTTCTTGCCTTTATGTATTTTCCACTCACAGTAAGCCCACATAACAGTAAAACTGCCCCATAGGGCTTCCTGGGTGGCCTCTTTCTAGAATCAAATAGTTAATTCTTTTTCCAGGGAACCTATCAACCATCCAGTTGACAACTAAGCATGTAATCATCCCACCACCAAGCTTCTTTTTATATAATCATATATGTATGAATCTTCTTTCCATCAAAGAGAACAGAGAACCCAAGAAAAGAAAACGGAGAATCCTGCACAAAGACAGACTCTGTTGATCATGCCATAAATCAAACCAAATAAAAACATTACAAGCTTCATAAGACAATCCTATTCCAACCTCTGAGTTATCTGAGGAAAACTGCAGAGTCCGTCTGCCCACTGGTGCAGAAAAGCTACTCACACTAGCAAAAGTATTTCTCTATAGAAAAGGTGAAATTAGTCTAGATTCTGAAGAACAAGCTTATGTTCTCTACTTCCCATCTCCTTTCTCATTTCTCTGAAAGACAGAAATATCTAATAAAGCTTTGCTGCTTCTACTTTTGTTTTCAAGTCAATTCTCAAATAGAATTGGCACAGAACTGTTTCTTAGGTAAGACACAATAAAGAGCTTTGACAAGTTTTGAAATTGAAACCCAAGGTAACTTTTTCCTTGAGAGACAGCAGATGGAGTGGTTAGAGGACAAGTGCAGTGTTTAATTAGCTGATAATGCAAGGACTTTAAGCAGAAAAAAAAGAAGCATGAGATGAGTGGGGGAAAGCACGTAGAGGGCCTGGTCTATATGCCTGTGAACTGCCAGACTATTTAGGCACCATGCTGCTCAACCTTCTCTCCAATTATGATGAAGGTGAGAACAGCAGACATGGGAGGAAGAACCTTTATAATGCTTTGTTATGCACCTAGATTCTATTCTTAGACACAGAATTTGTTTGTATTTTAATGAAATGTACTGACCCAGTTAAAAAAATCTGAAACCACTCTATACTTTCCTGATCTCTCAGTTGCCTGTGTTAACTTGAAGATTAAATAAAAAGAGGTACCAGTCAGGCATGGGTGCTCATAAAGATGTAGAGTTTCATTGAAAAAAAAGAACTCATTAAATATTACAGAAAATGGATGACTCTGGAGGACATTGCTGAGAGAAATATCTCAGTCACAAAAGGACAAATATTGCATCATGCCACTGTTGTAAAAAGGGACTGAAATCGGAGTTGAAGGAAGACTGAAAAGACCAGATAAATTATGTATACTGCATTGAAACAGATGAGGGAGAGGACTGTTTGAAAGGGATATATGATTAAGTATTACTGTCATGACAGGAGTCCAGAATGAAGGCTGCATAGTGGAGTGGACTAGGGGGCAGGGATTGCATAACAATGAAAGAGTTTTTCTTTTACTTTTCAAAGAGAAGAGCAAATTGAGGGGGAAAGGGTGGGCAGGGAGAAAAGTGCAACAATGAATGAATGGAAACCCTAAGTCTCTGTAAACTTTCATTAAAATTAATTTTTAAAAAGGATGTGGAGTTCTAGAACAAGGATAACACCCTGAATTACGGAAAAGGTTCATTTATAAGAAATGAAAGGTGTACTGTGGAGAGTGGAGTTCTGAAACTTCATATCTCTAAGTATGGATTAGATTGCAAATATAAAGAATAGACATGGAAATACAGAAAATGTAGATGCATTTTGAAAAGGCACACTAAGAATTAGTTAGGTAGAACACAATATTAAAATAAAAAAAGAAGTAGTGTTTTAAATGTCATTGTGTCCTTTCTCAGGAAAAAGGACTAAGGAGGCTGGTATTCCAGTTCTATCGCTTTCATTATTTTCTTTTTTCTAAAGCATCAACTTATTGTTCAGGTAGAAACTTACAGAAAAGAAGGAATAGTGTTAAATACAGAGGTGTTGGTCTGAATGACAATGAATTCTACACTCCCACCCAGAAGAATTTCAATGTTAATGAGCTACATTTAATTTCTCACAACTTCTAGTTTTCCCACTTTTATACTTTATGTATTCGTGTTTCAAATATTAAAACATATTTACAACTGTTTCTCCTCATTTTGATTGACTTCCAGTCTGGGTCTACTTCTATTACTATACCTATCCACGTTCTTCTATTTTTCTTTTATTATTTTTAATGAAAGTTTACAGAGACTTAGGGTTTCCATTCATTCATTGTTGCACTTTTCTCCCTGCCCCCTCCCCCTCCCCAATTCGCTCTTCTCTTTGAAAAATAAAAGAAAAATTCTTTCATTGTTAAACAATCCCTCCCTCCAAGTCCACTCCACTGTGCAGCCTTCATTCTGGACTCCTGTCATGACAGTAATACCTAATTATATATACCTTTTAAACAGTTCTTTCCCTCACTGTGGGCTTTAGACAAGTAATTTCATTTCTGTGATCCTCAGCTGTCTACAAAACCTTAAGAGTGAAGCCTCATTACACTATGAAATTATGAAAGGTGATAGAGATAACTGGTGTGTAGGTTATAGTTGTTGTTGCTGTTAGATACCATTAAGTCAGCTCCAATTCACAGAGATCCTATTATGTACAGCAGAACAAAACACTTCTTGGTCCTGGACCATCCTTACAATCATAGTTATGGTTGAGCCAGTAGCCATTGTTTCAATTGTTGCAGCCCTTGTATTGTTCTAGCTCATTGAGGCTCTTTATCCTTCTCTCTGACCCTTTTCTTTACCAACAATGACATCTTTCTTCAGGGAATTACAGCTTCTGCAAACCTGCCCAAAAGTATGTGAAATGAAGTTTCACCATCCTTATCTCTAAGAAGCCCTCTGGTTTCATTTACTCTAGAGTTACAAATTCTTTTGGCAAGAAAAACAGTGTACTTTATATCAGGTTGTTCTGCCCACGAAATGCCCCTCAAAGAAATCTAAAAACACGTCTGAAATTTCAAGAGCGTTTATTTTATTATTTCCAAGCGTGGAGACTTTTCCCCTCTTCAGGAAGGTGGTGAAGGAAAAAAGCCCTGAGTTTCCCCTCCCACTTACTTTTATAGCTCTTTTGAGTGCCCCTGTTAGGGCAGGGGGATTGCGATCATGGTTGGTGGGCTGGGGGATTAGTCATTTGGGTTGACATTTGACAGGCTGGCTACTTTGCCCACCTTTATTCTTTCTGTGTCACGTAGACACTAGTTAATCCCTTACTTTTCAGGGACAGACATGGTTTTACCTGGGGCACTCGTGTTCGCCCTAAGCTAAGAATTTTTATGGCCCTCTTCTGCCTCTAGCGTTAATGGGGGTTTATAAAAAAATGGGGTTTCTGCTGTCCCTTCACAGGTAATATTCCAGGTGACATATCAGGTATTTCATTGACCCTTACCTGTTCGGGCTGTGTCTCTCCTTCCTGCCAGACATATCCCATGGTAATTGAGCTCAGGACCAAGTGGGCCAGGCGCTGTTCCCGGTAACTCTCTAAGAAATGGCAGTTCAAGAGAGGCATCTGTTCAAGAGAAGTGTTAAAGATTACCATTTGAGGTGGTGAGATGGAGAAGAGAGTTCTGTAATAGAAATGTGTAGGGGAGTAAGAGAAATAGTTACATTTCCATGAAAGAAATATGAACCTATGGACACACCAGATCCTAGAACAAAGGTGTATGAGGTGGCCCACATGGCACACCACATGGTTGTGCCAGTTACCGGTCTCCATCACTGAAGGTTGGAATATTGTAGAATGATTGCCTCCCAGAAGCTCTGGTATTCGTAGTTTTCTAGGATTTACATTATGAGTTTGTGTTGAAGCTTCTAAAATGCTTTCATTGTATCTATTGATATGAATGAGTAACTCTGCCCGTATAGAATTACATTGCTAAACCATAAACTGCACATCTCTAGTAGTTTGAATCTAGTGCTGGTACCTTGAGAAGAAGATGGGAAGTCTCTTCCCATTGTAATTAAAACCTTAGAGACTCCACAGAGGGTCTCAGTGAGTTGGAATGACATGAAAATTGTGAGAACAGCATGAAGGTTGATATTATTTTATAACCATCTCCCACACATCATTCACAACCCTGTCTTAGCAAAGTACTCCTGCTTATTGGCATCATTTAACTCTAATAAAAGCCCTGAGCCATGGCTTTGGTAATCTTCAACTAATACAGGAGTAAAATGAGACACAATGGAATTGAGAATTTGGCCAAATCCCTATTAGGAAGGTGGCTGAACTGGGTCAATTCTTGTATGAATATGGATGGTGACCCTGGCTAGGTCTTTTCACCTCTCCATGCCTGTTCCCTGATTGACAAAATAAAGCTAACAACAATGTCTTTGCTAGGTTCATAGGTATTACCATAACTAAAAGTAGCAGCTTTACAAAAGGTATTGTTAGTAGAAGTTCTGGTAAAACAGTTAACAGTTCTGTCACATCTATCCCTCCTGTGTTGATTGATGCTAACAAGCTCAGAGCACCTGGGTACCCTTCCATTTTACCAGAAAGGTGACCCTACTAGAACATGAAATTTTCAAGCTATGTCATTAGTATCACACATAGGCAAACTTTTGCTGAAGATATTTTAAAAATTATTGTAGCAGTATTTTACCAGGGACCTGACAGAAATTGAAGCTGAATTCAAAAGAAGTAGTGGAATGAGGGACATCATTATTGACGTTATATAGTAATTAACTGTGTTTTCTTACTGTGCAAAAATATTTGATTGTAGGGAACAAAAGTGATTACTAATAATAATGCAAATAATTGGAAATCCCAAACACTAAAGGCCCATTCACATACTATACCAAGAGGCCATGGTTTAAACAGAACAAGGTGAGGTACAGCATATTTGAAAATCATAAAAGGTGTATGTCTACAGATGAGGGAGAAAACTGTTTAAAAGCGATATGTGGTTAGGTATTATTTTCACAACAGGAGTCCAGAATGAAGGCTGCACAGTGGAGTGGGCGTGGGGGGAGGAATTGTATAACAATGAAAGAATTTTTCTTTTACTTTTCAAAGAGAAGAGCAAATTGAGGGGGTGGAGTTGGGCAGGGAGAAAAGTGCAACAATGAACAATAAATGAGTGGAAATCCTAAGTCTGTAAACTTTCATTAAAGTTAATTTAAAAAAAGGTGTGTGTCTTTGCACTAAATTGTAATCCTATAAACCGGATTATAATTTCATGGGCAGAAGAATATGGAATTGGAGGAAGACTTATTAACAACCTACAATATGAAGATTATAGCAACTTATCAATATGAAGATTTCAGCAACTTTATTTGCTAAAAGTGTAAAGGACTTGAAACACATTTTGTTGAAGATCAAAAAACAGCCTGCAGTATGAATTACATCACAACACAAAGAAAATAATAATTCTTCAAAATAGACAAACAAGTAACATCATAATAAGTGGGGAAAGTGTTGAAGTTTTCAGGATATAAATATTTGGACCCACAATCAAGCTTTTAGTTTTACTAAAGAAATCAAAGTATTGAAGTGGGCAGATGGGAAAAATCTCATTAAGGTGTTGCAAAGTAAAAATAAATCACATTGAAGGAGATAATGCACCTGGGCCAAACTGTTGTTTTTGTTATGTGCCATCGAGTCATTTGCGACTCATAGCGACCCTATGCACAACAGCCCTAAACCGTGCTCTATCCTGTGCCAATCGCACTGTCTCTGACACTCCCATCCTGATT